GTCCGGAGGTCCGGTTGTCCAATTGATTGTGTCTATCTGTCCGTGTGTTTACTATTGTCTGGTTTATTGTGTGCATGTGTATTCATTTCTAGGTGCTCGGGTGCTCGGGCGAATGTGTATCCATCGTTTTGAGTGCTTGTTTTTTTGTAAGTAAGGATATGCATTTCTTTATGCTCCTGTCTGCTCAGTCGCGTGTCATAGAATCGCGGTGTCTGTCTGCACTTACTTATGTCTCCGTCTGTCTGGGTATGGGATTCCCCATCCGTCTGGGTATCTGTGTGCTAATCATTCAGTGCGCCCAGTGTCTAGGTGTCTGTTTGGTTGACTGTGTTCATATCTTCTGAGTCTGGTTGGTGTGCGTCTATTGGTCTATCTGTCTTTATGTGTGTCTGGCTGTCTAGATATGCTTACTGGTATGCGTATTGGCATTTTGGTGTATATATGAATGTGTGTTTGAATGTATGTATGTATGTATGTATGTGTGTGCTAAGAATTCTGGGCGTCTGCGCGGTTGGGTGGGCGGGTGATTGTTTCAACTGGTAGTTGTGTGTTTTGGCGAAAAAGAGCCTATTTGATCTTGGGGCGACGCGAAGTTGAGGGGTGTGATTGCGAGACAATTGACAGCACAACACAACTCGCCAAGTGCCTCATCACTAGCCCCATCATGGCATAAGTGTTTCCACAGGGCCACTACATGTTGGTGACAGAAGCTTTGGTTGTACATGGCGCTTTCGCCTGCATGCATCATCTGTGGCCATCCTCCAGACTGACGCCGGACCGACGAGTCGTGTGTTTTTGTGTATGTGTTCTGCTAGTCCACAGGGTGAGAATGAAGTGGTGGCTAAGTGGGGAAAGACCTGTCGAACCGTGGGGCGGGAAGGTGGAGGAGGGGGGGCGGCAATTCGCTCCGCGGGACCGGTGAGCAGAAAGAGGAGGGAAAGGGTGCAAAAAGTACACAGTCGCCCCAGCCGCCAACCGGAGGAGCTGATGCCGGCCGGGAGACGTGGCGGAGGCCATTAATGCGCGGAAATCAATGAGCAGATTCACCCGGCCAGCCATAATCCGACTCGTTTCGGCCGTGACAATAAATTGCATTAGTCTTAATGGGGAATCGACGACTCGTGTCAGGTTCGCGACTCGTACTCTCCTCCGTTGAGTCAAGCGGCCAGACGTCGCAGTTGTCCGCGCGAGTGGCAAAGTTATATTCGCTAGTTGCTCATGTGCCCATCTGTGTGTTTCTCCCTCTTTATGCATTTCTATATGTATATATGTGTGTATGTATGTA